CAGGTCCTTCTATGAACGAGGAATTATGAAGCTCACTAAAAGACGGCAAAAGGTTATCGAATAGAACAGGCAATATATCATTGATTGATTTTTGTTCTTTATATAAATAAATGACCTTTGAAAAACAGAGACAAAATACGTCACGACTTTTCCAACAACCCAATATCCCATTCATGTATGTCTATCCTTATGCCAGTGCCATTCTGTCTTTTTTTTGTTGTTAATTACTTGATTACTATTACTTGGCAGTTGGTTTTGAAATAGGAAGGTGTGATCCCTCCAGGTTTGTGTTTCTTTGCCAAGATTGTTTTGGTTATTATGACCCCCTTGCATTCCCATTTGAATTTTTAGACAAGCTTGTCTATTTCTGCAAAGAATTCTGCTGGAATTTTGGTAAAGATGACACTGAGTCTGCAGTTCGATTCGAGATGTATTGTCTTTTTTTTTTTTACCCTTATAATTTCTGCTTTAATGACAATCAAATTTCAAAACAGTACAGTTCAACTTAGCCACGTAGAAGCCAGTAAGCTTCTAAATGCACACATAATATAGAGGCTAATATTTTCTGGCAGTCCTCGGTCCCTGAAAATGGAACTTCATCGGATATATTTGAGTTTTTGTCGGACTAGTCATTAAAATATGTTATTTTTGCAAAATGAGGCAATATCTCAGGGGAGTTTCTTTAAAGATTCATCCGAATCTTTCACAAGTGTTTCTTTCATAAACCTTCTCTGTGTTACTGTAGCCTTTAGTTAGTTTCCAGAGTTCTGAAAAAAAATGTTGATGCTTACCATTTTGCTAAGTTTTTCTTTGTTATTGTTGCTTTCATGGAGGACAGAATTGTTGAAAGTCCTTATTCCGCCATTTTTGCTGCTGACCTAACCCGGTTTGTTTTCATCATGAGAAGTCTTCCAAGGATGCCCCTGGTTTGGTGTGAAGAGCTAATAATGCTTTTTAGACAGGACGGGAGCGTGCTGGCTCCATCTCTTACAGACGTTCCTCATTTAATTCTCACAGCTCCAGGGCAGCGGGACGGGGGGTGGCACATGGTATGACTCCCATTTTATAGATGAGAAAACTGAGCCCCAGAGAGCTTAGGGCCTTTGTTCAAGGTCACACTTCAGGTGGATGAGCCTCGTCCGTCTGACTGCAATGCCTGTGTTTATGTCTCAGGCATTCTCACAACACCGTCACACGTTTTACCATAACTGCTAACAGTATTACTTAACCTCGTAACTTTTCTTTCAACAAGCTCTTCTTAAAAGGAACATATGCACATTTTTTTGAAATAAAGTTTATATTCCCCTACTATGAATAAAGTTAGCATTATTAACCTAAGTAAAAGATGGCTATAAAACAGAGAGAGACATGGCGGACACGTAAGGAAGGGAAAGTAAAGAAAGATATGCACAAACACACATTGCGTATCTGCTGTGGTTTGCAGGAAGCTCTGAGCTTGAACCCTGCTCTTTCCTTATTTAAAAGGGAAGTGTGTGACAGGGACAGAGATAGTAAAGGCAGAGTCGCAGCAAAAAAAAACCCACTTTCTCCTTCCCTCGATCAGCATAACCAGAGGGGAGTCCCGAGGGGACTGTGGGGTTTGGGCTCAGGAATGAGACAGCCGGGGCTGGGCTAGGGGTTCTAAGACTCACACACTTGGTCACCATTTTCCCCTACGGCTTAGATGCTAACCGTCTACCTTTTAGGGCTCCCCAGAGTCCCAGGTCAGAATGTCCACATTAACATGGCCTGTAGCCTCCAGTGTCACGGGGGGTAACCAGGGCAGCCTCTGACGCCCCAAATGGACGCTAGGACACGGCGGACGTCACCTTTTCCAGCTGACTCCACACGTCCAGCACGTCCTTGGCAAAGTTGAAGTACTCAGGC